AAGTTCACCGACATCTAATGACCATTCAAGGTGCAGAGCGAAGCCTGCCAGGCCTTTCAGCTCGTCTGTCTACTCTGCTGTTAACAAAAAGTCTGTGTCTTTCTGTTTATCGGACCAAAACGACCTTCAGCCGGTTGAACCTTAAGTTGGGCTGGTTTCCTTCTGGGGTCGCTGACGACTAATTAATTCAATTCACTGGAAACCTCTGCGAGGAAGACGGAACCTGCAGAGCAAATATTTTTCCCCTGGAGGGAAACGTTTGCTTTCGTCATCGAGCGTAACGTTAATTCGGTTGGTCATAATCCTAGGCCAGCAGCTTTTTTTCATTTTCCATGTTTGAAAATGGCGCCGAACAAGTATTTTCAAACAACAACAAGACGGCCATCAGTCCGCGATGATATACCATAAGTGATACAGTGAAAACCGAGCTGCAGGTATACAATTTTTTCAAAAGTATATTATGTAAGAATATATTAGCTTATATTTCTAGTATAGGTATAATTAGCTTTTGACTTGCACACAGGTAAGATAAGATATGCTTAATAACGAAACAGATCCCAGGGCCGAGCCCGCTAATAACGCTCTAGTATGTTACTAAACCTTTGTTCCTTTTGGCGTGTTGAGCTGCCGTCGAGCCGGGCTGATTTTTTGTGGATTGCTAGAGTTTATTCTGCAAAAAGTTGCACGTACGATGAGGCCAACCGAAAAATGTACTTCTTTTTGGTTTTTCTTGTAAAGTAAAGCTTCCTTTACTACATAGTGTCATGGCACTTCGGGCAAACCAACTATGTTTAGTGGTTGGCTCGGTAACCACTGAAAATTCATAGGGAACTAATTATGGTAGGTCCTACAAAACGGTCGCCACATTCAATTTCAAAGAGTTTCAATTTTTTTTTTTGCAATTAAGTCGTAAAGTGGTGACTGGAAGACGGTTTATAATGACAATAAATAAACTCAGTTAGCCTTGCCTAAGTATGCAAGTGTGATTTCTTCCCCTTCTAAGGGAGACAATGCTAACTCATGTCCTTTGGATAAGGACTTTTTTCCAATGCTAGGACTATTAATAGAAAGAGATGATCGCAATGATTAAATTGGAGAACAGGACTTACTGCTGAAGTTTGGTTTAATACGTCCATGTTACATAGTTGTGTAGCTTTACACCGGCAACTTTGAGCTCGAACTCCCGCAGCAGGTTAGATACGATGCATGAACGGACCACAAATAGCGAGACGATTACTAAGATGTCTTAATACCAAAGGCAATTAATCCAACAAATTAACGAGTTGTTTCTGCATTGAAATAGCAAGGTCACTAACCCCAAGTAAGTAATTGACTAGAATAAAGAAAATATAATAGGAAAGATGCACCCGGATATAGAATTACTATAATCAAATATTAGGACAAGCTGATGACATAATTATGACGTGGCTGCAAGACTCTTGAACCATTCCAATGAAAAGGTGAAGTAGTTGGAACAGAATAAAGGTAACGGGATCAATGTCGCTAACTGATTGGCTAAATCAGGAAAATCGAGTTACCGCAACGGAATAGATGCAACGAGATAACACAATTGGCGCTGCGGAATCTCAAATAAATCACAAAAGGATAGCTATAGAGGTGTAGGTCTGCAATCGATCTACAGTCTATATTTAGATAGGCGTAGCCTAATCAAAGTTTTTTTGTCACTAGTGTCTGTCCTGAAAGGTTCATTTTTGAAATGGCTTTTTGGGGAGGTCTTTATTCTTGGTTTTTTATACGTGTACATAGGAAAGTTGTAGGGACTGAATTAAGCTATATTTAAAAACGCTTTCTTTTTTTTAATTTCCTTCACAAAGTGACAGTCAGATATTTACATGAACGTTTATGTGAGGAATATTTCTTGGTACCAATCGAAGGCTATCGCAGAGCTGAACAAAAATGTTACACATGTTCCTATATCTAAATCTCAATTTTCAAGTCGAAGATGTCATTCGAAGTGTGAAAATTTAGCACGGTGTTTTATGTAAGAGGGATGTTTTTTGTTCTCAGGCTAAGTAAAATGCTATAGAAGTACCTAAGCTTCAAATAGATATTTGGGTACGAAAGGAAGCAATAATTCAGTTGGTCATATTGGTCTATCTATGGAACCATAGAACAAAAATGCATCTTAACATGGTTTTGAGCAACTTTTGACCGAGTTCCTAAAAAGTATGAATCTGGAAAATTGAAGCGGTTGATATGAAGCGGATTTCAATGAAAACCATTTTTCAAACTTACTTTCGGCGAAAAATGCCAAAATGTCACCAAAAAATCTATGTTTCTACGCCCAATCCATGGACCTCAGCGGGTTGAGTAAAAATGCAAGATATATCAATAAGTATTTTCGAGAAAGAAAAAAGGCAAACGACCTATTCTGACGTCTGTTTCCTCTATGTAGCGATGAGGCAAAAAGTTACTCCGAAGGAACCCTGCACGGCTCTTTTAGCAAATTCCTAATAAATGTGAATTATTTATAGATTTAGCTGATTTTTGCTGAGTCGTTGGAGTTTCAATTTGCGAAGAGCTACACATACGATAGCGGATTGTATAAATAGTTTTCTATAGGGGATAGTTCATTTCTTTCGCAGAACATAATGTTGATTTGAACAAATTAAGGGTTGTAAGCGATTCGCTCAAGAAGCATTGAGCGTTCCGAACACGTTTATACAGAAGGGCTGTTCGCCGTCTACGCTATGCAGAATGGGCTCAACATTTAAAGTAGATTTTGCATTTTCTTGTGATTTGGTGGGTAAATTTTTTAAAAAATGCTTCATAAAACACGATGTACAAATTGGTAAAGTACGAACCATATTCTTCACATGTAAATGATGTTTTCCTACCGGATGAGTACGTTTCTTTAGGAATGATTTCTTTTCACCTATAGGATGGCTCGGGTCGTAAACTGGATTACTTTGCGAGTTCGCTGATAAAATATTAACTATTTTAGCGTTTGTTTTATATTCCTGGATCAGGATATATTTCATTTGGCAGTGTAAACAAGTATAATAAAATATGTAAACGGACTATGTGTAGCAAAGTTTATAGAGTACTATAATGTTTCAATAGGTAATTAAAAATGATCGTACGGATTTAAATTTCAGACAGTGCATAGTCGGAGGTTTATTTTACAAAGGAGGAGCACAAATAACGTAACATTTGTTCGGTTATTGCAAGCGGCAGAATATATACGGTGCCTTTTTTAGAATTAGCTGCGATTAGCTTACTATGGCATTCACTGCAGCGAGACTACTCGAACATAGTTACAAAGCGTCAAGCTAACAGAATCGCCTTTGGGGCCTTTCCAATAAAATGGAGATAGCAACATGCGTACATGACTCAGCTCAGGTCAGGTCAACCCTGGAAACCTGACTTTGAGCTAAAAGACTTTGTACTCCGTTTCGAAATGAATAACGAAAACACGCCTAGAATGGGCCTCAAAGAAAAAAGAGGGGATTCAACAACCACAGAAAAGAATCTTCGCTAAACCGATCAACAGATAAAGATGGTGTAAAACACTTGGGAGTGTATTCGGACTAATCATTTAATGTTCATTGAGACATAAAAACAGCTGCAACTGGTGCAAGCAGCGCGGTGATTTCGGTAACAGCAGGCTGTTCATGCTGGTCACGGAATCGATCGTCCTATTTGGAGCCTTGTTGTGAATGAAGAAGGCCTTAACCACGAAAAAGAGCAGATGCCTACTTCGTAGTACCCAGACAATGGGTGCACTGTGTATCACACAGATATATGGTGCGATCAGGGCCTCTACAACGCTGACCTTAGTTAAGTATGAAAATCAAGCAAAGAAAGCGCCTGTGAGACAGAGATGGCGGGCCGAAAGGAACAAAACAAGCAGAAGGGATTATCTGTATGGACGGATGGCAGTCAAAATGGACGACGAACCTCAGGATGACCCTGAGTCAGTGGGCAGAGGTGTCATTTCGAACATTAAGAAGCAGCTAGACCGCCCGGACGGAAAAGAGAAGGCGATCCGATAGGCGGAATCCTACCAGTGGCGTCGAGGAAGGGTATATGACAACTTGTAGACCTCATATGCGATAGAAGGGGCGACTGAGAAACTGGCTTAATGACCTAAGATAGTATTGAAAGAAAAAGAATGCCTCGAACGCATAAGGAGACCAGATCTGACGCAGATGGAATACATCGTGTCAGGAGGAGTGGGGATTCCGGAAGGTAACCTCAGATTGATTGAGCCAAAATAATCCTTTTTTATTACGGAATATAAAAAAGAATAAACATAGCAGTGTTATTTAAAAATTGACTAGATAAAATATGCGACCTACGTAACCGGACAGTTGCAATAGGATGACAGAATTAATGTAACAGCTGCGCTTACTAAGGTGTAAGTCCGCAGTCGAGAAATGATTTATGTCAAGGGTTAAATGTAATATGAATTGAATATTAGAACAGGTAAGTGAAACGATTGTGTCCAGGCGGTAGGACGGTTGGAACGATGGGAGAACGGGACGCGTGCAACGGGTAACTGCAACTAAGTTGGTGTTGGTAAGATATTCATTGAACCAAAAGGGATCATTGTGATTGGATAACGGAATTGTCGCTGCAGGATCCTAGGAGAATTACAACCGCGTATCTGCAAAGGCGTATGTCTGCGGTTGAACTATAGTTTATCTTAAATCAGGCGCAACCTGAACTAAATTCGTTGATTAAAATGAGCTGACGTAGAACAGTACAAGGGTGGCGGGCTAACTGGAGTGGGCTAAGCGTAACATCAATGAATCAAATTAGCTAAATCAACGGCATAATAGACCCTGGATAAAGTCAGCTCCGTCTAGTTATATTCTAACAAATTTCGTTTTTTTGTCGTTTCTTGACATTTACTTCATAATTAAATACACACTTACACACTAGCTTGTCAAACCTGTATGAATAAAGAGCGCGTTTGTGTATAGTACTACATAGGTGTTGTCGTATTAATCTCGTACGTCTTTGCTATGTTTCAGGTAATGTTACATCATTTTCAATGAAGCATTTTATATGCTTAGCTGCAGTACTGGACATAAAATTCAAGAGATCTAGATGGAGCTGATTCAAAGAGTTCTAAAATGAAGGTTTGTTACGGTCTGTTTTTCTCTAAAGGCAGACAAAATCGTTTATTCTGTTGCTGAGATCCACAAGTACCACATATGTTTTAGTGTCAAAATGGCTGGTTAAATATAGATTATTGTTCATCGAACAGAGATTATTAATGTTTTCGCGCCGTACCTGTTGCCGTTATTGGCAACAGGTACAGGTGGTATTGTAATAAACACTGAAACGCTAAACGTTCATTTACTATATTTTCTATTATTAAAAGGTAGGAGTTGTCCCTGTCATCAGTCGAAAGCCCTTGACAAACTGAATCGAAGTGCAATACATGATTAGATATCTAATTTTTATGGGCTGAAGATGCCATTTGAAGCGTGCAGACTTAGCTTGATGTTCTGTGTAGGAAAGGTTCTTCTTGACACAAATAGGGTCTATTATTAGCCAGTCCAAGTCAGTCACAGAAATAAAATCAACCACCCAACCCTAAAAAAACCTTGTAATCACGTTACGAAAATGTATCAAAGTTAGCACCGTTGGCTAAACTCCCTGCTGAACATATTAGAATAGGTTAATAAAGTTACTGAAAGATAAGAAGGGTTAAGCGAGACAAAGTAACTCAACAAAAAAAAAGAGGTTCGGGGAGAAACCTGTGGATCCGTCTAGTTACAACTATTTGACTCGACGTTCTACCCAAAGTTTGTTTTACTAGAGAATATTAAGCATAAGAACATCTCAAATGAGTGCGAAAATTAAAGTTTAAACGGCCTGCCGCCATTGTTTTTAAATATGCCTCTTGATAATTTTTTTCATTTGGAATACTTGAAAGATTAAAGATCATAGTGAAATCTAACGAGCATTAAGCTATGCTGTATTTCCGTGAAACATTGTAGTACTGCCTTACTTCATACTACCTCGATTAAGGCCATATTCGTGGATCAGGAGTACTATCTTTGTACTTTGGTGGAAAAGTGTGCCGTTTCTAGTAAACTGAGTCGACTTCTCAAGCTCAGTCGTAAATAGACGACTTTTTGCCGTGTATTGCATCATTATTTTTACACATCTATTGCCCTCTACGTTCCCCTAAAGGCGATGTTCTGCATTCTTCGATTTGGTCGGCCTTTTGTTTGAACTAAAAGACTATTCCTATTTCAAACCGTTTTTTACGTAGATGGAAAGTTGCATAGCGTCGTTCCATGAAATCCGGCCGAGAAAGATCAACATAGCTGTACAACACATTCGCTGCTTCATGGATGGTGTGAGTCTATTTATCCAAATGGTCGCCTGACGGAGGCGGGCGAAAAGGGCTTGCTTGTTGTTCCTGTTGCACTCTCCTTTGAAGTGCTGTTTCTGCTGATGCTTGGGATCTTCTCATATTAAGCTACAGTTCTTGCTTACCTGCATATATCGGGTATACCTTATCCCCATGAAGTTACAGCGGTAACGTTTCCCGTGTAGATGTCCACTATCGTCGTCTCTTTCCCATTTGATTCTATCTTATATTAGGTAACTCTGTGAGCTCATTGGCTCACTCTGCCGCACAACTGGCTTCCTTTTTTCGTTCATCTTTTATCACTTTGGCCTGCTGGCCTCTCCTTACTACGGCCACTACGTTCGTTGGTACTATGCTCGGTTAACGCCTGACAATTATATTCGTTTCGGACTCGAGTCGTCTTGTGATCAGACCGAAGTATGCTTCATTACCCGCTGCGTTCTTCCAGAAAATCAGCCTTCAGAGACCTTTAGCAAGAGCACCTATGATTCCCACAGCCATCGCGCCAATTCTCCCTGCTTGTAGTCACCTATTTTGGGTTTTTTCGGATGTATTCCCTTATAACGAAAATGAGTATAGAAGCTGTTTTAGTGAACTCTGCTTTTGGATCGTTTGTCTCTTGCTCGTATCGCCTTGGACATTGCTGACAAGTTTAATGGAGTGGTATCCTTCTAGGAAAGAAACCAATCTGGCAGGAAAACGCGCATCAACTTGGGCCTAGACCGACTTCATTTCGCTGCAGAGTTATTATTTCGGTTCCACTCGGCTTCTGCGAAGCTGGTACGCTTTATTGACATCCTTAGTTCTTTTTCTACCCTTGAAGTCCTTACGGGGTTTCTAAAACTGTGTTTGCTGTTTCGTCGTTGAGACACGGCGTGGGGCAGGACAAATGCAACAATGAGATGGGGCTTCAAATCTGGTTCACATTTTCGAGAAGGCTTCCTTAAAACAGTAGGAAACATTCCTGTCCGTTTATTTCGACAGAATAAGGATTTTCATGCGGATCACCTTATTGTAAGGCGCATCCTCACCGTTGAGTGTAAAAACGAGAACTTTACTGTGAAGTTCATCGTCTTGTAGTGAGCAGTCTTTTAAGAGAAGGTATCAGCTGAAATTTGGCCTACATTTTGCTCTTGCATTATTTTGAGTTTCGAACATGCATAATCTATTTGCTGTGTGTACGTACTTTAAAGAAAGTACGTACGCTTTTAACAGTTACACTTTGTTTTACTTTATCTATTGTCGCTTATTTATTTATGATGCCATAAAGCTTAATTTGCGGCATTAATGCATGCTTTTCAAAATCGACCCGGTTGTGCTTGTCTCTTCCGATGTTAAATAGGATAATACATAAGGAAAGTCGGCCGTGTGCTGATGAATGATTAGTTATATTTTTTAAAGTCGTAAAAAGTGTCGCTTCGTACACTCCTGTCGGCTTTTTTTCTTTGTGAAGCAACTTTGCCTTCGTATACAAATAAGCTTCTCTCAGCATCAACTCCATGTTCATTGCATAACTTTAGAGCGAGATAAATAGATCCCTGTAACTCTAGCACTTGACCCATATGCGTGTGTACCTATTCAGTGTCACATAGTAAGGCAGAATCTATTCGAAGCTCATCGAGAGAAGGAAGGATGAGTTACCTGCGTGAGGTTACCATGCTTTGCACGCCCGTAGACGGCAGCGACATTCCGTGTTACGTGCCAGTATGCTATCTGATGCAAATACATGTCTCAGTCGATGTTTATTTCTGTTTGCCTCAGAGCTATAAATAAAAAAGGACGAGTTATATGGGAACAATGAGTCACCTGGCTCCTAATTTTTGGCTAGCGGTCCAGGTACTATTATGGAAGCGTATTGTTCATGTCTATCCGTCATACGTCTCACGTCAGGATGTATGTCAGGCTGTCTGGGGCGGAGTTAAGGAGTATCTGAACAAATATTGCAACTATCGCAGCATTTAGGTAAGGATTGGCCGGGCGACTCGCTACCGTGAAGGCGGTCAACTCTGCTGCTATAGCCGCTGCAGATATATATATATATAGCATGCTCACGAATGGAAAAGTAAACTGTATTTCTCGATGAACGGAAACACGTACGTTAACCTATGCGATTTTCTTGTACATAGTGCAGAACATAATACATAGAACGTGCTGGCCTACCAGCAGCAGATCATAGCCGAAAAAATCGCCCTTTCTCCTCCATTCTGCACCCCCTACACTGCGTCAAAGCCACCGCATAACACAACATTATCTATGAGCTATCCTTTGCCATCTAAACATGCAACACGCTCTTACAAGGAGGTTTCATTCTCTCCTGTAAGGCGGAGAAAGTGCCGTACAAGCTGGCATTCTATCCACTATTGTCGGGCTGGCCCATTGGCCCAAGTGATTCCGTCGGTTGGCAGGTACTGCTCCAGTTTATAGTGTTAAAAAAAGTGTCCGATAGTACCTATCGTTTCGGCGTAGTATCAATAAATTATATACATGTTGGATGGGTCACTGTACAAAAACGACAATATAAAAAAAAACACTTGTATTGCTATAAAAAATTCATAAAGATTCAACGATGAGTTGCAGGTAAGGGTGTAACCTAGGCTCGTTGCACCGGACTATAAAAAACATTCAGTTGACTTAAAACAGAAAGATGATACGTGCAGCATCGTACGACTAGATGTAAGCTTTGTTCCTAAACTCTATTTAAATATGAAATCTTCTACATCTGTCATCCTTGGTGGTCATGTTTTTTTAAATATAGCCTAGACTGTAGCTTTAATTCAGAACCTGACATACACAATAAGCATTTTCAAAATATTCCTCATTGATTTCACAGGTTCGCCATGCGTTTAGAAAAAGTTCGTGGCCTTGTTCTACATAGAAAACACTGGCCTTCTTCTAGTGTTTAGAATACCGAAAAAACGGATACTCGCTATAACAGATAATCCAACGAAATGCCGACAAATCTATCACTACTTAGATGGGATACATTTGTTAATGCACACAGATTATGTCTTTCCCATAAAAGCAAACTAAAATCCGAGCGAAAATGGCCAACCAATATCTTGGTATTCACCTTTTCCATATTGAGACCCTTAAACTTTAAGCAAAGATAACTTCGTCCATAACCACTGCCTATTGCTAATGAAGTACAGCCAAAAGCAACTTCCATCATTGCAAACTGTTCGTTCTCCTTCGACTTATGTGATATTAATTGATCCCATTTCTAAGACTTCGTCGCATTAATGTATTAATTTATATTTTAATGGCAGTAGTAATAGAAGAAGATAAAATTTTGCATCTGGAGTAATCATATGATTCTTAAGACACCAGTCTGTTATTCGCATCCAGGCTACACCATGTGGGTTTTACCACATTTACAATTAATGTCCAAATGCTGACTGGGGCGTTTACTATGATACAGTTCCTTCAGCCAGCATTCCTGAGGACCACATATAAGCAGTTTCAATCCCAGTATACATTTACATTGCGTCTGCATTTGTATTTTTTTAAGCTTTCCTCTGGGCAAGGCGATCGTCTTAGATTTAGCCATCTTGAGCTTATTCCAGTAGCAGCTGAATTCGCGATATGTTCGATTTGGCTTAAACTCGGCTAGTCAGTGCCAGCTCGTTAATTTGCATTAAACATAACTTGGTGAAATTTATAAATACTTAGGGTATGATTAGATTTAGGCCACTCTGCGAAGACGAAACATGTTGAAGTCAACAGCGTCGTCGGCCCCCACGCGGCCAATTCATT